TTCAAACAAAGTGAGAGATTGGGATTTTTGAATTTGTAGAATATATATTGCCAGAAAGCCCATACTCATACATTTGTTCTGCATTTCGATCGAACTCACAAATCTCTCTTAACCCTTTCAGTCCCAGCTTAATTAATTGTGAAATCTGACAATCTTTAAGAGAAGGTAGTATAAACAAGTGTATGGGTATGTTAATTAATTTTTATTGGTTTAGTATTGCTTTGTTATCCCTTTAGAACATAGAAAATAAAAACAAACTAAGAACGAACATAACATGTGGCATCTGTTTCAATTTTTCTACAAATACATCAGAAACATTATTAATGTCTTTGGGTCTGAAAATGATAAACATATGGTCTGTCCCAGTACTTTTTAATAGTAAAGCTAGTAAAAGGGAAACATTTAAAAATCGCTCTCAGAGTACAAAATAATTTGAAAATTTCGGGAACGAACATCTAGTAAATATGCATAATTAGATGGCAATACTTCAAAATCAACATAACAGCCAATCAGAAGTAGGCATTCCTGTTTACCATTTTTACTCGGCCAAATTTCTCAAGTAAAAAGTTTACAAAGAGAACGCCATTTTGTTTTGTGCTCTCTTAAATTTTATTCAATGTTTTACCAGTTTTGTGGGTTCAGGAACGGTTTTTGAATAAAAAGTTGCAAAACTTGTAAAGTTAGTAGATTCTTTTAGGTTCTGGAACGGAACTATACTGTAGGTATCACAGCAAGGTTATGTCTCATGGTATAATAATAGAAGGTAACAGCAAGTGTTGTTGTACAAAAAACGATACAACAACCACATGTAAATTTGTTGTTGTAAGTTCTACTAGTGTCAACTCATTTGACAGAAAAATGTAAACAAACAAATTATCATCAAATTATTTTTATTTTGAAAATGAAATATTTTCGAATCCTCCAAATAAAAATTGAAAAACATGAATGAAAATCTATCAAATTTATATTTCTATCGCTTCCACATCTTTCCTATAATTGAGCCATTGCCATATATATGTGTAACACATATGAAAATGCTGGGAATAGCGAGTTATTCCTTGAAGAAAGATTTGCTTCCTCAAGCTTTCCCAGCAGGCAGATTGAGTAAATTGAATACGGGAGCACATTTAATGAAGAACAATTTCAAATTGTATTCAAATTGTATTTTTAAAAACATAATTTGTCAATTTCATATTGACACTAGTATAACGTTAGAATCAAATCAGCTGGGATTTGCTGTTACCTTTTATAATTGTACCATGGTTATGTCTCTAAAAATACATTAGCTGTTAGAATCAAATCAGCTGGGATTTGCTGTTACCTTTTATAATTGTACCATGGTTATGTCTCTAAAAATACATTAGCTGTGTTCCCAAACCTGCAATATAGTACTATATTGTACTAGTTTTGGAATTTTTGCTAGAAAAGCGTTCCCTTACGCCGAAAAGTAGGAAAAATTGAAGTTAAATTTAAGAGAGTTAAAACCAAAATGGCGTTCTCTTCTCCTATTTTCTGCAAAGCCCAATTTGGCCTAGCACGAAATAGTAAATGTAGTAAATTGTGAATTTGACATTTGATTGCCAGAGATATACAGTCCGAAATAAAGCATATGAAAGTTAGCGCTTCAACAAAAGGGACACACGCACACACATTTGCTTGAAAATAAAACCAAATAAGAAATTTAAAAATGGGCAAACAGATTTTTTATTCTCTTTTGGAGGATAGTGAAGATGAATGGCTGGCAGAAGATTCAGATGAAGATACTACAGAATGAAGACTTGGGTTGGGAACATGCATATGTTCCGAAATTTCAAGGCCAATATCTCGGGATATCACAGTAATCAGCTCCACGGAGGGCTACTAACGGTAATCATTTTAAAATGATCCGAGTGGAGCCCCTAAACTTGACTTCTTCAATATCTTGTTGTTCTAGTGCGCTAAAACAATGCAATCAAAATATCTACCAATTTCAATAGCATTAACATTATGGGAGCGTCCAGCCATGTAAGCCTTTCCGGGCTTGGAGTCGTCGGAAACTCCACTTCCAAATATTCGATAATGTTTTCCTATAAATTATGCAAATAAAAAATAACTATTAATATTATCAAAATCACACAATGGACGCCGTTTAACTTTTTGTTTCTTTGTGAGCATTAGGTTTCTGTAGTCTTTTTTTTTTTTTTGTCCTTAACTGATGAAATTTTTGATTTGGACGTTTCTTCATGTTTTAACTATTTTCCGTTCCTTTACTTTTTGCGCAAATCTTGTATGTGAGAGTAATTTTTGATAGTTCTCTCTTTTACTACCTTTACTATCAAAAAATACGGGAACGAACCTATTTATAGTACGTTTACATTTAACCGGATTTCGTTAACCCAGTGGGTTTCAATTGTCAATTCCTTTGCATATATGTCAAATAAATCCTCATAAAGTAGATTTTTCCGTTAAAAAGTTCTAATGTATATGCCGTTTAATATATACAATTTTAAATCGATTAAATAAATACTCGAATACTGTGGCCGGAGTCTTCATTTGAGCGCATATGATGTTTTACTATGACAGCACTTTATTCTTATATACATTTTAAAACAAAATGGTGAATTTATTTATTGTGTCGAATATCAGGCCCGTATTTAAATTTCGTGCGTTGTGTACTAAAATTCCCACCTTCTCACCTATATAGGGTTAGTTGAACGTCCGTATTATCAAAATACGCAAGGACCTTATTTACTAGTGTGTCATTGAAACAGATGATGAAAACATTTTGTTGCTTAGTCTGCTTTTCCACAGGCAGATTTTTATTTCGCAAATTTTTTGATTTCTCTTTTGAAATTTTCGCTTGCTTTTCCATTAGCAAATTTTTCTTTGCCAAATTTGCGAATCAAAATACAAAATAAAGAAAATAAAAGTCAAAAGTGTTTGCATTTTAAAGGTTTTTTTTTAATATTTTTTATATAGTTTATTATATAAATTGCAAAAATTAAAAATTAAATTTCACTTGCACAAATTAAAGCAACAGGTTTGTAAACAAAAGCCGGCTGTGTGTCAGTAAAGCGAATAGGTTCAAAAGGAAATGTCAACAAAATTGTTTTCAACGAACAGAGCAAAGCAGAATTTGCGTGTACGGCAAATTCTGAACAGGCAAATTTTTGTTTTTCTTCCTCGCACCCCTCTCGCCTAAAAACTCAGTATTTGCCAAATAAAAATTTACCTGTGGAAAAGCAGACTTAACCGAAAAATTTATACATTTATATCATGGTATAATAATAGAAGGTAACAGCAAGTGTTGTTGTACAAAAAACGATACAACAATCACATGTAAATTTTGTTGTAGTAAGTTATACTAGTGTCAACTCATTTGACATAAAAATGTAAACAAACAAACAAATTATCATCAAATTATTTTTATTTTGAAAATGAAATATTTTCGAATCCTCAAAATAAAAATTGAAAAACATGAATGAAAAGCTATCAAATTTATATTTCTATCGCTTCCACATCTTTCCTATAATTGAGCCATTGCCATATATATGTGTAACACATATGAAAATGCTGGGAATAGCGAGTTATTCCTTGAAGAAAGATTTGCTTCCTCAAACTTTCCCAGCAGGCAGATTGAGTAAATTGAATACGGGAGCACATTTAATAAAGAACAATTTCAAATTGTATCCGTTCCCAATTTTCCTGTTGGGTGATTTTTAAAAACATAACTTGTCAAATTCATATTGACACTAGTATTACGTTGGAATCAAATCAGCTGGGATTTGCTGTTACCTTTTATAATTGTACCATGCATTTATATATGTAAAAAAAACAAATGTTGTCAATGACTGGAGTTCTATTTTCAAAAAAATCGATACCAAAAATAAATTGACAATTGTGCTTAAAAACTTTATAAGAATAAAGTGTTTCCTTAATAAAATCTTTAAACATAAGGATGAATTAGAAAAAAGACCATTTGAACATGAAAAAATCATGATTTGTATCTTGTTGTGAAATATTAAAGTTTTGTTTTGCATTATTCCTGACTCTTCAAAAACACAGGCAAATTTTGGTAACATCTCTAAAAGGATGTATTTATTTGTAGTTGCTATTGCTATATGAATTAAAAAATGCATAATAATATTTTTTTATCAGTAACCGTTCTCAAAAAGTGGTAAACTTTCCAAAATTCTAAAGAAGAAACTAAAAAACATTTTTGATACCATTCTTGTGGTTTCCTGAACATGTAGTTTAAGATTTAAATTAAGCTTGGTTGAAGAATCTGCTGGAATAAACTATTTGTAAACTTTTTACAAAATTTATTTCATGCATTTTCTTTTCATATAATTTACATTTCATGAAAAAATAGAGTCCAGATTTACCAATTCTTCGAAACATCTTTGAGAGCAATAAATGTTCCCGCATAATAAATAAATTATTGTGCATGCCAGCTAATTTTCTCAGTTGTTGCTACTAAATATTTAAAATATGTACTTTTATTTTCCCGTTCAATATTCAGGTACGTAGCAACGTTAAATTTCATCGGAAGGTTGAGGATTTTGCGCCAACAGGTAGAAGTATGCAACAAAAACGACGCTAATCGTGTATAGCGTTTTATTCTCTCCAAAATTTGTTTGTGTTTTAAAGATACGCCTGAGATTTGTCGGTCTCTTTCTCTCGCTCTCGATCTTAACTTAAAAATACAGCTTACCAAGATCTCGGTCTTGGTCGCTACTTACCTGGCTGGTTGTCGATTAGTAGTAAAACTATCGCCATAGGAGTTGAAACAAAAACCGAGTCGTAATATTTTTGTATTGTAGATTGTGAAAACGTACATAAAAAGAAATCAAACTGGTTTCAACAAAACACGATTGTTAAAAATTCGAATTTCATTTTTGTTCGTGAAATATGAAATTCAGATAAAAATAGCTGACTAAGTGAAGAAAATATACAAGAGATTCTACGGGCAACAAAATTTTAAATATTAAGAAAAATATCGAAAACGTAGCGAGAAAAACAGAAAAATGCCCTGCTCCGCTGTTACGCTTTCTATAGCCACAATCGCCTCAATAATAGCAATCGCTTTATTGGTTATTGCATTTTCTACAGATAACTGGTTACATTATGAGGTGAAAAGAAACAACATACAGGTGTGTATCCATTAACATCGAATGAGAATAGTGCAATCCTACCGACATCTTGAAGTCCATGATTTGGAAAGAAATTCAAAGAGTCAACAAGAAAATTAAACAAAAAAGAAAAAAAAACTTTCTACAACAACGCTAGTGTTAATGTTTAAATTAATTTAATAATTATAAAATATTCATTTTATGTGCATATAGGGACTCACACACACATACACATATTTTTCAACCCAATATGGATGTGTGTCGTGCTTGTGAGTACGTGTGAGATCCGATGGAATGCGACTTGTACACAAAGAAACTAAAATCCCAAATCTACAACACTAACAAATCAACCATCCAACCAACCAACCAACTAACAATAACACAAGAGAAGAACCGATTCCAAACACTTTAAGTTCTCTTCACAATTCTCTTTGTTGTTGAACCATTGCTTCCCAACTAGCTACACATGTATGTATGTGCGTGGCTGGAAAATACGGTGCACCAATATTTCGGCTATGGATCTAATATAAAGCCCAATACATATATCTTTAAATCTATTGATGACCATAAAGAATGTTCGTCATTGATAAATACATAGTTTTATATTTAACAAAACAGCAGACGTCCACATCCCAAAAAACGTTCATTTATTAGCTTTGGTATAAAAGAATATATCATACTAGATCCTTTGCCACATGGTGGCAGCAAATAAATTCGCATATTGACGCCATAGATAATATTTATGCACAACCATTCCTCACAGAGTGTATTGTGAAATTTTTATCCAAAAATATTTCATACTCACATATTTGTAATAAACTGAAAATCCACACCCAATGTACTAAGGGGGCCATGAAAGTGAAAGTTCGCCAAACGTTTGGATGCATGTGTTCAGAGGTCGTTCGAATTTCTCGACGAATTAAATCGTTTTAACATATTTTCTAACCTGCAAATTTTATTTGCAAATAATATTGAGCTTATCTTAATGTCTGTCACAAGATATGATAATATGTATGTCAGGCAAACTGAACATGCCTATAGAAAAATCTTTCAAAACACAGTACAGTATTCAAATATCTGGCATCCATTTTCTGTCTTTTGGTCACTGGAACACATACAAAACTATATTGAAGACTAAAAAACAATGGTCTGTTCGAGAACCTGCAAGAATGAACTGCATTTTACTACGATAACATTTTTTCCTTTATTATATCGATGAAAATAGTAAAAAATAGTAGATTATTGTAGTATGGGAACTGGCAACACATACTTTTTAATATTTTAGAAGTTTTCAAAAATATTCAAAAAATTCACATTTTGCTTTCAAAGATGTTTTAAAAAATCTTTGGCATATACCAATATTAAACTGCAACAATATAGGAATTTACATAAGTCTTTCAAAATCAACAATAAATCATAAATTGACATCCCTCTATTCAAACTCGGCCAAACTAATTTTTCGTAATTGTAAAGAACATACAGGAGAACACTTTAGAATTTAAAATTATTAAAAATATTTGTAATTATGATATCTTTATCGATGTCGTCCTTAGGAACAAAATTTTTTAAGTTGTTCCAATAGTCGGCATATGGGTGAATAATAAGCAACTTTTCGATCATGTTGGCTCCAAATTGAAAAAAATGTTAAATAAGTGCTCTAAATTACGATTAATTTATAAAAAAAAACGGTTAGAGCGATTTTACATAATGGAAGACATTGTAGAATCTTAAATTTTTTAATCTCTGAAATGCCTTATTTAGACATGCCGAGAATTGGATAACAAGTTCCGAAAATCGGCACCATGTTTTATAATTGTATTATTTTAATAAATAATATTCTTTTATATAACTTTTTCAATACAACACTGATTTAAAAATCGATTAAATATATAAAGTGCCGACTATTGGTACAAAGGCACTATTTTACATAATTATTAATTTAATCTACTTCAATACAAATTAATTAAAGAAATTTGTATTCCATCGGGGAGTAAACAAAATTTCGAAACAGACGAACCTAAATACAATATCGTGGAAAAGATGCACTTGGAATGGTGAAACGTTTAAAAAGCGAAAATTCTTAAAGTGCCGACTATTGGTGCACTTACCCTATACGATTTAAAATCGACTCGATTAACGAAATCCAGAAATACATCCTAATTGTTTACACATACCTTTTATCAAATCTAATCTAAATGTCGATCAGCTGATGTTTTTAGTATACATATAAATTTATTAATTTGCACCAAAAATATTTCTTTGCAATTTGAAAATAAGAAGAAAATTGTTGAAAATTTGACAATCGCCATGGAATATGGAATTTATTTTTCATTTTATTTGAAATTGATATATGAATTCCATATTAAAAAGGGTTGCCATTATCAATTTCCCAAATGAGACTACCTTGTATAGTTATGCCATGTTACCAATGATGTAAACTTCATTTTTAAACAAATGGATTTTAGAATATATTTTTCAAAACATCACATATACATTCGCATATTTTGTATATGACTTTGGCATAAAAATTGAAAATTACAAGTTGCTATGGCCTACCATCAATAATTGTACCATGGTTTAAACTATAAGCTCGCAAATTTCTTTACTTATTAATTTTGTCTTCGCATATTTTCAACTATTACGTGTACATGTGTACAGATTTTGACTGAGGCACCCTAATGGAAATACAACAACATCAATTATTCGTAGGTATTTAGAATTTTATTCATTCGTGTGTTGAGAGACTAAAGTTGCTCATTGTTCAAGTATGAAGCCGTTAGAGAGTAGACGATTTCAGAATCACTGTCACAAGGCAAAAGTGTTGATTATTTCATCTGGTTGTTGGTTGGCGTTGGCTCGCCATTGCTTTAACCATGAAAGAACAGGTTTTGAGTACAGATGTTTAAGTCGCCATTCAAAGATATAGCGTTGGGTTAAGCTTCAATTGGCATTTCGTCTATTTATGCAGAAAAACATCTTTGCACACACACACACACATAAACGTGTTTCTTTGTTTGTATTTACGATGTTGGTCAACATTATTTTCGTACATAGTTTAAATTCTTTTCTAACGGAATGCTTAAGAAACTCCGCATAACTTGGCGTTCTATTATAAATTAAAGTAATATGTATATATGTACTTTCACTACTATTTGTATACACGCGGATATCCTAGAACCACGTCGACTACATCGGTTAAAGGGATAGTTTGGGGATGCATCGTCCTAAGGCTACGCTTACATTAAACCAATTTTAATAAAACGCGCCATAATATTCCAAAATCGTAAAATACGACATTTAGGCGCAGCACTTTTTCCATATTTATTTATTCTTTGTAGAGTAGTAAATTTTACAAATTTTAAATATTAAAAAAATGGCCTCATAATGTATAAAACTACCTATAATACCCTATTATATGTCAACTAGTTGCGGCTTGTTACGTTAGACTGAATTTAACACGTTTTTTACATTGTATTTTAAATATTGATTCATCCCACAAATGATAAATATCTTCCCTACGGAAGTTGAAAGATGTTACTGCAGTATGGATGAAACAAACATTTCATTTTGGAAAGAAATTACAAAATTTAATTAAAAAGTTCTAATGTATATGCCATTTTACATTGAACAAACTTTGAAGGCAGTTTTTTACACGTTAGCTTTAGAATCACTATTTATAATAAAATGGGATTTGAAAATTGACATTAAAAAACAAACATTTATTCATAAAAAAAAATTAATTATTACATTTGTAGCATAGCATGCCATGCATATGTAGATTTTAAATACAAAATAAAATACTACCAACCGAAAAAGGGAATGCGGTTAATGTATTAAACGGCATATACATTAGAACTTTTTACCGGCTTAACCTACTTTATGAGGATATATTTGACATACATATATGCAAAGTAATTGACAATTGAAATCCACTGGGTTAAAGAAATCCGGTTAAATATAAAAGTACTAATAATGTAGACTTTGTTCAAAGGTTAAATCAATCAATACAAGGTAGGGTAGCTTTTTGGTCTATTCCCGTACTGCAAGAATGTACTCGATTTTACTATTTTCTTCGATATAATAAAGGAAAAATTCGTTATCGTAGTAAAAACTAGTAGAATCTTGCAGTACTGGAACAGACAATTTGTTAAAAAGGTGAAAATACACCTCTACCTCATGGGCAATAATGTCAGAATTAATGAAAACAAATGCAACAGGTCATTCGGTTCATTTGACACATTTTTAAAATTTTACCAAAAACGCGAAAAATGAATGTAATGTCCATCAATCAAAATATAATCCACTTATTTTTTGAATATGATTAAGATGACGTATACGCTATGGAGAGAATTTAGCAAATCTAATCTACCATAAATTGGCACATCATTAGTCTAATGAAATTAAAATGGGTATGGCACTACCTGCGTTACCAGTATACAGTCATTTCCATGGTAAAAAAATTGTAGTACATTTGACTATGTAGTATATTATAGTCAGCTACTTGGGTTATAAAAGTTACATATGTATACAAAATTACATATTTTTGTATGAAAGCTATTCGAAATTATAGTTCCGTTCCAGAACCTAAAAGAATTTACTCATTTTATATGTTTTGTAACTTTTTACTCGAAAACCGTTCCTCAACCCACAAAACTGGTAAAACATTGAATCAAATTTAAGAGAGCACAAAACAAAATGGCGTTCTCTTTGAAAACTTTTTACTTGAGAAATTTGGCCGAGTAAAAATGGTAAACAGGAATGCCTACTTCTGATTGGCTGTTATGTCGATTTTGAAGTATTGCCATTTAATTTTGGCATATTTACTAGATTTGCGTTCCCGAACTTTTCAAATTATTTTGTACTCTGAGAGCAATTTTGAAATGTTTCCCTTTTACTAGGTTTACTATTAAAAAAGTACTGGAACGGACAATATATTGTTGAACCTAATCATTAAGTTATATATTATATATATTCACAATTAAATATAAATTTCAATTTCAATTATAAAGCGGATTGAGTGTAAAAGGGAGGGATATTGGACTAGTAAAAATATTTTACCAATTTAAAAAATAGCAATTTATATAAAAACATGTTACAAAAAATATATGAGCACTTCCGGATTCACTTACACGACATTCAGATGCAAAATCAAACTTTAAATGTTAAATAAATCAAACACAATTATATTTATTACAATTGACCCCTAATACTTTTTTTGTAGCACTTTAGGAGTACTATTAGTGGTAAAAAATTGAGGCCTCAGGTTTTTATCTTTTGAAATAAAATCCACAAAAGAGGGGTCACTCACGCGACTTCAAATGTACATTACTTTAGACATCATTGCTAATAATGGGAAAACTCTGCAAACTGTGTGAACATTTTGAACTTCAAATATTCTAAGGTCAAATATTCTATACATGAATAAATTATATCTAGCATTATTATTGCACTTTCAAAATTATTAAATTTGATATATCCTTTTTGCTAAGGTCACGCAAGCGACGTAACTCACGCGACATTTTTGATTTTGCAGTTTTTATTTCTGCATTTATAGCCATTAAATTAGTATTTGTGGGAAGAACAAGAAGAAAAAATGACAAATGTGGTCTTTCATTATATTTTTTGCCGTTACTTCAGGTTTCTGTGCACAATTGAAAAAATAAATTCTTAGACTTTGGTTTACCTTTTGCCGGAAATGCCCATATGTAAAAAAAAAGATTTTGATTAATTGCATTATGTATTTTGGTTTACCCTATATATAATTTATTTCGAAGAGTGCAATATTGATCATTATACCCATCGGTAATCTATAAAATAGTTGAGTCATTACCCTTTACATTACCCCAGTACCTACTGATGATATCCATAGACAACTTTTTCAATTGACAAATTGATCCAACCTGTATTTTGTATGCCAATTTTGTGAACATGGTAACTAGATTGCTTAGTAACTAGCTATATATAACAGAGAATTAATATATATGTCTATTGAACGACTGGGATTATTCTCTCTTATAATTGTGTAAATGTGTGTGTGTGTGTGTGTGACAAATTTGAAACACCCCGACGGCCCGGGCTCACATTTGGGTACAAAATTCACAATCAATGAAAATACAATCAAAACTATTGCCACTAATTTCGGTGAAAATAATTTCCGGAATAACATATTTCGATTACAACATATCTGCGGGTAAAACTTCAATCAATAATTTAGTAACGTCAACATAATCTTCTTAAACAATACACTTGTTACCACAATTTGAGGCCCTAAGGGCTTATATAAATTCTGAGACAATGTGTGGGATATCTAATATCGCCAATCTTGGTAAAATGGTCAAGCCAATTAGTAGCGGTCTTTCATTTGGTCGTTGGTGCTAATGAAGCTTATTGCAATGCTCTAACATTATATAAATAGTCGTGGAACGGTCAAAGTAATTTTTTAAAGGTCTAGTAGTCATGAGTTTATTTACACAATTTTATGTTAAATGTGTGTGAGTGCTAGAGTGCAGTCGGCAGATTCATTACTGGAATATAAATGTAATAGGCACTGTACACATATGGGCTTTTATACGTATGTGGGTTTGTACATATGTTTCCTGTTGAACATTGCTGCATAGCCATGCGAACTCATACGCAATATAGACGCGCGTGCGCAGCGTTTTCGTGTGGTATGCGGTACGGGGAATAATTTCATTGCAGCACTTACAACAAATATGTAGTTGTCATTTTCTAATTTTCACTTTTAATTTAATATGGTCAAACTATTTCAAATGTCTTTCCGAAAATGGCAACTTTATTGAAGTTTGCAATTTTAGAAAATTAGGTTAAATACACAATTTAATGCACGTAGATAGGTAAAGTTGCATCACATCAGGCACAAACAAGCTGATGTAGAATTACGCTAATATTGAATATATACAAGTCATTTGATTTGATATACAAGTCATTAAAACACATTTTGGGATTATTTAAATGACTGCCAATTGAGCCGCTCTTAGTGCACACATCGAATGACTCCACATTTTGACAAATCTCAATTTAACATTTTTTATTTTTATAATAAGTTTTACGTTTTTCAAAGTATTCATATTAAAAAAAAGATACATATTAAAATAAAAAACCAAAACATAAGTTAATCCATATATGTTTACCATTTGAGGAGAAGGATTTAAATTTTCACAGCACATTAAATTATATTTAAATATCGTGTTAAATTTTAAAAAAGCTTCAAATAATTAATATTATATTTTATTTCGAAGCTGTGATTTACTATACAAATTATCTTGTTATACGCAACAAAATAAAAAATATGTTACAACAACTATATAAGCTAATGTTTATGCCAATTAGAATTAAAAATATTATTTAATAATAGCAAAAATATTTAAAATTTCACAATTCCAATTAGAGCAAAATTCACACAAATTATTTCAAAACACATTTATGCACTGTTACCACACAAACAAAGACCACAAAATTAGTGAACATTCACGACAGGGTTGCCAAATTGTTATTACGCAGTTTGACAGTTAATCAAGTCATCAGCTGTGCTAAAAGGTCTACCTATTTATTGTGCCATGGTATAATCATGGCACAATGAATAGGTAGTCTATTTAGAGCAGCTGATGTCTTAATTAACTGTCAAAGTGCGTAATTTCTACTTGAATTCGATGTGCAATGCTGCCAACTTTTTCAAATATTATATGGAAACATTTGACAGATTGTGGAGACAAAAACAAATGTTTTTGCATCATGGGTATAATCATGGCACAATGAACGTTCTGAAAAAATATGAATTAAAAATAATTCTCTTTATATTTCATTATCAGTTAATCCTAGCTCTGACAATTTTCTATTCAACATTGAGTACATTTTTGTAAAACTTAAGTTATTTTTTCAAACAATTTTCATCAATCATCGATACTAGTATTACACAAAAAATTTTCAAGTGGCTGTTGTTTAGTTTTTTGTACAACAACACTTGCTATTACCTTATATTATTGTAAAATGGAATGCAACAAACAATTATTTGCACTATAGTTATTTTTCGTGTTGAACCTTATTCTGTCATGATATGCTCTAAAATTTAATGCTTTGCTAGATGTGGATCCCATCAATGACTCTGACAAAATTAAATATTGAGGTTACTTCCAATGAAGATGATGATGAAGAGACAAACTTAAATAACATACTTTTTTATATTTGTCATAACTCAAACATTTGTGTGTTCCACATAATCAGCTTTGACGAAAACAAAAGCTTCAAAGTGACATAGTAAATATGAAATCAGTCGAAACTCGATAAATAAAAAACAATAGTTATAAGACATTATTTTTATAACACAATTATGATATATTTTTTAATTGTATTTGTTTATTATTTGCAGGCATTTGCAGCTAAACATTCCGATTCCGAAACTCTGTTAAGTAATTTAAATAACAAATATTTCTATTATACAAGAACCCGAGGCCTTTTCAGAATATGCTATCCCAAAGAGAAGCCACCGACAAGTGCAGGTAAAATCTTTAAGAAAAAAAACTGTGAACAGGCCATTATTAATCAGTTGCGCTATATTACAGTTCCAACATATCTATCACCAATAGAGACGCATTGCTCGAATATAGACTATTTCCCACAAATGGAGGAGGATAAGATATCAAGCGAAGATGTTACATCAAGGCTACATTTGGCTCGTTCATGCATAGCAATGTTCATATTAAGGTAAAGTTAATTTAAAATTAAAAATTGAATCATTTTTATTGTAGACAGAGCCAGAAAAAGACGGCGTCCTTTTATTAAGATTTGCTCTGACTAACTATTGTTATGATTTGACAGGTTTTAGAACAGAAATACTAAAAATTTCATAAAAATTTTTACAAAAATCTTCTAATTGTTACATTTAACCATCTTCGGTGAAAAACATAATAACATATAAACATTTTTACGACCATCTCAAAAAATATTTCGTTTTAAAATCATTCATACACACATCCATCCATAATCCACTTTTTTATCTTACAAGGCTTGACCTAATATAGAACTACAATTGTAATCATCTTTCGCAGCTACAGGCTGTTACTATGAGATATACCTTACTAAGAGCCTCTTGATTAATAAAATATAAAACGTATTGAATAGACTGCCGAAATATCTAATTAATTTGTTACTTATTCACTTACAGCTTCATCACAACCTTCTGCGCTTTCTGGACTGGTTTGTCCGGATGCTGGAAAAGATCGTCGGGTGCTATTACAGCTACTTCAATTTTACTGCTTGCAACGTGCCTGCTTGCCGCCGGTGCTATGGGTCTCTGGCATACTGTTGAGTTCTTTGAAAAAGAGAAAGTTGTCGGAGAAGACTACTATCAGCAATGGACTACCGTAAGTACTTCATTTATGCCTTAATGTACTTCGACATTTTCATTCTGTCTTCATCCCCACAGGTACTAAGAGACAATACCAAAATTACATATGATTGGTCATATATTGTTGCATGGGCCGGTGTAGGTTCTTGTCTTCTGGCTGCCATATTGCTATCGGGAGCTGCTGTTTGTCTAAGAAGTGAACGGGAGAAAGAAGAACAATTAAATTTGCAATATCTTATGCCAGGTAATTAATTATAAATTATACGAAAGCGAAGGTATTCTATAGGTATTTGCCTATTCCAATAAAACCTTGAATTGAAATACAGAAAATGAAACCGGATCCCTTACACAAACTACGGCACAAACCATTCCTATTTTAATTGCAGAAATGGGTGCACGTTTTTTACTTTAAGCTTTTAAAGTTAAAATCCGAAACATTACTTATCAATTTATAAAAATGTGCTCTTCAAGATATCCTCTCTCCAAGTGTATCTTGGATCACAAAACTACTCAAATTTATAGTATGTATTAGTTTATGCATCGGTCCAAGGTCCCACTAGTTAAACTCCATACAACAATGGCAAACCTACGGATTGGGAACGGTTGGACTTTAATTCCTGTACAAATAACACGTTTCCAGTTGACCAAGCTTCATATTTTTTTAAACAAATAAACATGCATTGATAAGACTTATATATTTTTTCATGTATAAAATGTATCATGTATGTGATTTATTGCACCTCTTTCAAATTAGCAATCAATATGATAATTTCTGAATAGCAATTAAAAAAATACAATATAGTATATAACACATGTTTTGCGTGTATGTATACAAATAAGTGATATATAATTATGTATATGTTTTTGAACCATATTAATTTATTTTTTCTTTTGCAGTATATTCACAAAAACAACCTCCTTATCCACCCTACGCCAACTATCCTCAGCCTCAAATGTTTGCCGCTGGTCCGTATTACCATGGGTCGCAATATGGTCCATACAACTACTAAGGACGACGGATAACTTCAATAAATCACAAATGATAATACATTCATTCAATACACATATCTAACAAACCTGTTGACCGAATCATCATCCGTAATATCCATGATTGCAGTGACAGGTGCATTGGAATATGTCCACTGTGACTGTTTCGTGCTTTAAACGGTGTACGTCGGTATTACTATGATGGAAAAAAATTCTAGTGAACAGCAATGAAATTATTTATTTTCAATAACTTTACACAGATATAATCAGAGCATTTTGTTTTTTCCTTCTTCTCGATAATAATCGCAACCACAATAATTACATATATTCATATTTGTAATAATATAGATATAAAGACTTGATTGGTGATGAATAAAGAAGTGTGATGTACACTTCTGGATTTGTTATGGAATCTATCAACGAACCTTAAGTATGTTAGATGTTATTTAATATGTGTATTATATTCTACGTTTTCGTAAGTTTTCTAATTAATAAGTGGCAATTTGTAGTGAACTGAATATTGTCTTCCATGGATTAAAAGTGAATATAGTGCACACACACATGCGCACGCATTTCTTGGAGAATGCATTAAGCAAAACACAATAAATATTAACAGTTAGAGAATCTAGTTTAAGTGCATGCTGTTGTCTAAATTCGTGCACTTGCATGTATGCATAGTTACATATGGATACATTTAGAAGTAAAAATTATATACTTACAAATATTTATGTTTTCATTTTGTTCTATATTATTATTATTTTTAAATAAAAGAAATATTTTAATAAAATTGTCTATGGAACATAAACATCTGTTAGTGATGGAATTTTCTTTTTTTTTCATTTGTTTTTGTTATAAAACGAAATGTGAGATTTTTATAGTACGTTTACATTGTACCGGATTCCGGTAACCCAGTGGGTTTCAATTGTCAATTCCATTGTATACATGTCAAATAAATCCTCATAAAGTAGATTAACACGGTAAAAAGTTCTAATGTAAATGCGGTTTTATATCCAATGTTTTAGGGTCGTGCCTAATTTATTGCGCTCCGTACAAAAATACTCACCTTCTCACCTTTATAGGGTTTGTAAGACGTCCGTATTACCCAAATACGCAAGAACTTTATGTGCATCTGTGCCAATTGAAAATAGCAAAAATGGATGAAAACATTTTTTTAATTGATCGAAAAATGTTTTCATTTATAGAAAAACAAATCTTTCAATGACTGGAATTCTATTTTCAAAAAACAAAAAATTCAAAATACGCATTGTCAATGTTGAAATTTGTCAACTTTATACTTTTATGCGCAATGCGTATTTTGGTAACATTCATTTATGCCATGTTCTGACGGTCATTCGAACAACGTAGTTCGCTCTCAGAATTACGTACATGAATTAACCCGTTCATACAGCACTATTCTTAATTCATGTCATCAGAGTTTTTTATTTCAAACATTTTGTTTCTTGTTTTACACCAAAATTGTAACATATTTGCGTGAATCACATATGGATCTAAATCACTGTTCACCATGTAATTATTATTTTTGTTGTTTTTGCGTGCAGAAACTATTGAAAATAATTGGTTTGTTCCCGTTTTTAAAATGTATATTCAGGAACAGGACAAATGATTTTTTTCAGTTATAAGGGTCGTACCTAAATTCATGCGTATGCGTACGAATTTATTCACCTCAGAAGTTAAATACATGTATTTAATCCCATGTACAGACGAGCGTTGTTCGCTCTCTCATTCGTTGTCCGACCCTTAATTATGAAGTAATTACTTAGTTCCCCATACAAAATTGCCTGAGCGAACGCCGACTTTTGTACGTTGTTCAATTCTAATCTCTCTCTGAATCACCAAGAGTTTTGTCCCATCTCTAACAATTGAGAGAATTTATCGAAATTAATTTTGACAGCATGAAAAAAATTTTAAAATTTTCAAACTTTTTCAGTAAAATTGAAAATAATGAATGAAAAGTAACCAAAATTCTAGTTTTTATATATTTGCAGAAGGATGTAAATTTTGTTGTCTACATAATGCAATATGCATTTCTTTCCCTTTGGTTCAAATTAGCGTACAAAACGAGAAACAAAAGTGGGGAAACCCAAACAAAAATTCTTCAATTTTTTAAATGTGACATTTGAGTTGAGAAAATATAAAAATGTATTGAAAACAACAATATTTTCAAAAAAAAAAAATGGAAAACATGAATTAAAAGTAAAGAGAGAGGGCAAGGTATATTTAGAAGGTAACCTTATCAAGGCAGCTGATGGTAACATTATATGTCATAGCAATTTGTTGTTGTTTGTCCCAATTTATATTAGGCGAGTTTAATTGCGGCAAGTCTTTGTTTGAAGGAGAGAGGGGCAAGGGGAATAGAACTTGAAAAAAATTGCTCGTACCGACAATTTTCTGGCAATTCGTTTTGTGAATTTTGTTTGTAGTATCAGTAATTTAAAATACCAATCCAGAACATTGTCAAAAAAAAAAAAAAATATTTTTGAAATCGAATTGCCTTGTATAGAGGAATGAAGCAAGTTCAAAAGAGAACGATAACTAATATAAATCAGAATTTTTTTTCACACCCTATTTTAAATGAAAATTGTAAATACTTTTGGATATAAAGAACAAAAAGACAGAAAATACAAGGCATAGCGGAAGGCCTTGGAATCGAAAAGAAGATTTGGTACGATGGCCCTTTTTTCTCCTTTGTATAATATTGCTTTTCAAATTTCATGAGAGGGCATACAAACACTACGGAAAAAATAGTCCAAATCTTGTTATATCTCCATACATACGATTACATTTAAGGCGTACTTTTGATGTATCTTTTAAATTTGATGTATCTTTTAAAATTGTTCAAAAAGTAAACAAATATTTTTCAAAATACTTAATTCTGATTGGTTGAATTTAATTTGCTTCGAGTTTTGTATGTCATGGGGAAATTAGCTCTGTCTGTTAACACGATATTTTGTAACAATTGTTACCATATGTTACTAAATGTTGTCTTTTTACACAAAAATCCAGTAAAAGAGAGTCAAGTGAGAGAGCAAGTTTGACAGTTGAACAACAACAAAGTTGATGGAGTTTACTGAAAGAATTTTATTCAGTAAGATTTTGCAACTCAGCCATTTTCTGATCAGCTGTTTTCTGACCAAACACAAAAATTATTTAAAACCTTTTTTTTATTTTGCAAAGTTCAATTTGAAGTTAATTACAGAAAATGGAAGAAAATTCGTAAGTAATGCAAAGTTTCATTAAATTAGAAACTAATTCCTTATATATTTTTAGGCAAGTTCCAGATAGAGAGCAATGTATTGATGCAGGGACCTTAAATGTTCCCGGGAACATACCAGATCAATTTTTCTTTTATTATTCATTTTATATTTAATATTAAATGCAATACAAATAATTGTGTTCGTCCTTTGATTGTTGTGTATTTTGGCGCAAATCAAATGTTTTCTTGAATCAGCTGTTTATTTGCTAAATCTTACTAAATGTTGTCTGTTTACTTTTTTCAGTATTATCGAAAATAGAGTAAGAAAGGCTTACTCTCTGAACTAGAACTTACTGACTAAATGTTACTGGAAAAGTAACCAGACACACCTATTAATATTATTCGCTTTGTTAACAATTTTGGCATATCATGTTCCCATTTCGCCGATGCGGCTTCCTTATATATCTACCTTGAGATAGGGGTTGATATTATAGCACTGTTCACCAAACAGGCGCTCACGGGCGGTTTGGGAGAGTACCAATACAATCACAGTTCTGTGTTCGAACTCAACATTATTCTCGACATCGAACATGTCGTATGCTTGGTAATGCATTAACATATACGATCTGTACTGAGAGAGCGAAAATTACTCTCCCAACGGATCTATGCGTGTGTCCAACACAATCATAGCAGTTTGCATATGTGTTGTTGGCTAAGCCTGATCTAAATAGAAAAAATAATTCTCTTTCTCCTGACTATAATACAGGCTTAGCCAACAACACATATGCAAACTGCTATGATTGTGTTGGACACACGCATAGATCCGTTGGGAGAGTAATTTTTGCTCTCTCAGTACAGATCGTATATGTTAATGCATTACCTAGCATGTTCCCGGGAACATACCAGATCAATTTTTCTTTTATTATTCATTTTATATTTAATATTAAATGCAATACAAATAATTGTGTTCGTCCTTTGATTGTTGTTTATTTTGGCGCAAATCAAATGTTTTCTTGAATCAGCTGTTTATTTGCTAAATCTTACTAAATGTTGTCTGTTTACTTTTTTCAGTATTATCGAAAAGAGAGTATGAAAGGCTTACTCTCTGAACTAGAACTTACTGAATAAAATGTTACTGGAAAAGTAACCAGACACACCTATTATTATTATTCGCCTTGTTAACAATTTTGGCATATCATGTTCCCATTTCGCCGATGCGGCTTCCTTATATATCTACCTTGAGATAGGGGTTGATATTATAGCACTGTTCACCAAACAGGCGCTCACGGGCGGTTTGGGAGAGTACCAATACAATCACAGTTCTGTGTTCGAACTCAACATTATTCTCGACATCGAACATGTCGTATGCTTGGTAATGCATTAACATATACGATCTGTACTGAGAGAGCGAAAATTACTCTCCCAACGGATCTATGCGTGTGTCCAACACAATCATAGCAGTTTGCATATGTGTTGTTGGCTAAGCCCCCTGTAGGAAATGTCTACAGTAAATCAGTATTGACTTACTATTGGCATTGTCACCAATACTGTTGACCGACTATACCCAACACAATGCATTTTACTATTGACATTTAACATGTGCTTGTCATTGGAAATGAACTAGTGACTTGGTCAGTAGTAAGTCAGTAGTTTTTAGATATAGACACAGCGTCGCATATGTGGACACGGTCAGTAGTAAGTCAATAGTTTGTATATATAGGCAAAAGGTCACATATGTCACTTGTAAATTTTTTATAATTTCTTTTGCTCAAAAATTTTTTCACCAATTAATTAATTAATTTAATTATT